CACAGTCTCTGTGTGCTCTGATCAAATAGGATAATGGATTTTGAATAGGCAGGCACTGGCTGTATCTGCCCCACAAGCACTGATTTTGCCCCCAAACCCAGGGAAAAGCATCTCCCTCTAATCTCTGAACATGTGTCCAAGCACTTCCAGTGCAAAAGCAGTACACTGTAGCAATACAACAATATGTGTTTTGAGTCCTGAGCAGGGGCCAAGTTACTTTGGGACACTTTCTGCCACCCTTCCAGTGACATGGGATCAGGAGAGATAAGTACCTAAATCATGATCTTATGATTATAGTGCAATGCTGTGAGAAAGATATGTGATTTTATGATTGTTCCATTAAGGAATCTCTCAACAAATACGGATTTCTTTGTAATCTAATATTAACTGAAATTGTCTGAGTTCATGATGTTTGATTGCAGAATATTTTTGAATATGTTTTTGTTGTTACTGTATATCATCAATCTTTATACTGAAATTGTTTCTTTTCTTAGCCTGAAGTAATTTTGCTAATTTAGATGTATTACCCTATGTGATGTGGATACAGAGAGAGAGGGTGTGTGTATGTGTTTATGTACGTTAGAGAAAAGGAGAGGGGTGATTTTGCTAATTCTGAACTCTAACCCCCATAAATATTTGTACTTAGGACATTACTTCTCATTTCTCATAAGCTGAGGTCACTACTCCATCTCTTAGACCTGCAACAGCTGCCAGTGCTTCTAGACAGTTCAGATCTTTTTCCAAATGCAATCATTCTGGACCACAGAAAATTTGATTTACTTCCAATTTAGGCCTTGCTGGATTGTTCGCTCTCTTATCTTCAGCTGTGCTGGGCTGTTGTGTTTCCAACATTTGTAAAGACAACCCAAAACAAAGTTTTGGCCATCTGTGGCATTCTCAGATTAGCATATATTGAGAAAATTCTGTTTAGAAAGACATAAACAAATGTCCACTGGTGCTTTAGAGGAATAAAGTACTCCTTTGAACTGAAATGGAGACTGTAAGAGGTTTGAAATAGGGAGGAGATTTTTCTTTCTATTGTTGATGTAATGTCTTTGTGCTGTCTGCACCAGAAAAAGAAAAAAATGAGGAGGGAAGAAATAAGCTTTTGTTTAAAAGAGATATTGATGAAGGGTCTTAAAGTCTTCAGCAAGGTAAATGAAAAGCTGCACTTCTGTTACAGATGTTTTTAAAAGACTGACCATGCAAGTAGACTTTCCCAGGTACTTAATGTCCATATATATTTCAAGCAGAGAAACTTCACCTAATAAACTGCACCTACAAAAGTAGGTGGGCAAAAACTGAAGCTGCTTTCTATAGTAACTAATATTTAGAAGGAAATTTCAGTTATAACCAGATTTGTGGCTGTTTGCTTCCATCATATAAGACAGGTGCAGCACGTGCTTAAGCTCTTGACCAAACATATAAATATTGATCCAGAATATAAATATCAGCTCTTAATGGTGAAAAAACTAAAAGGTCTGAGGAAGAAATTGCTACTGAATTTAGAAACTCATGCTCGGGCTTTGAAGAAAGGAAATCTTCCTCTCATATTTAAACTCAAGCAGTTAATGTACTTCAAGTTTTTGACATTTTCTGTGATAAGTTAGTGTGTGAGAATTTGTGGGAGATCTTTGGTGTCAACATGTGCTGGAGAAAGGACATGGGTGATTTTTCCACTGTTAGCTGAGCACTAGACAACACAGGAACAGCTTCAGAAGGGACACAGCTTATCCATCTCTTTTTGGCTAATTGTTTTTTGGATATGAGAAAGATTGGGAAGCCAGGAGCCTCAGGGAGTGGAGAAGCTCTGTGGTGGAGTGGAGGCCTGGGCTGATGTTCCATTTCCAGCAGCTGGGAGCGTTCCCTGCCACCACAGTGACCCAAACCACCTGCTGAGGTGTCCTCATGGTGGGAAGATGGATGAGCCCAAGTGTTCCTGGGTGTCTTTGCTTTTCTGTAGTTCTAATTGCTTTTCAAAAGTGAGGGCCTTTTTGTTAGTTTGTTTGATTTTAATTCTATAGTAAATCAGGTCTTCTGCAGATTAATTTAGGATGCTTTTCAAACACTATTTTCATTATTCCTGTGTGAGCAAACGGGAGATGTCATCCTGGTAAACCGTCAAGGACATATGGCTGAAACCCCTTTAAAAGCAGCTTTTGTGAAAGGGGATTGACATTTCCTGGGCTCATTATATGGCAGGATTTGTAGTAGTAACTGCTGGAAAGCTGGGAGAGTTGCTGCCCCTTGGATTAAAAACCAAAAACTGATGGATGGACCTGATGGAGTTTTTTACTCTTAATTTAAAATATCTCAAAAATTACTCTTGGATTTTTCAGGGTTTTCCTGTAAACATACTAATAATATAATTTAGGTTTGAATTATGTTTACTTTGGAGCTTTTTCCCAGATGTTCTTACTGAGAGTCTCTAGAAATGTAAGAATTATATACTGATGTGCAGATGAGTACCTTGTGTTTTTATGACCTCTGTGTGTGAGAGCAGCACTGAATAAAACAGCTTTTTCTCTGTAAGAGGTAAGGCATTCCTGTGACAGCAGGGAATTGGACTCAGATGATCCTTATGGGTTGCTTCCAGCTTGAGATGTTCTGTGATTCTATTAAAAATTGTAGCTGGTTACAAAACAGTACAGGACAGAGAATGGCAGCAGTTCAGATAAATGGAACAGGTTGGAGAAAAGGTGTCTAAGAGGTTCTTCTGAAGTAGCAGGAAGGTTGGGTTTAAGGCACTGTTGTTACATGGAGTGTCACACTTACACAGGCCAAGAAAAGGCCTGTGAACAGTTGGATAATTGATGAACTGGGTGGAGGGGGAGCAGCTGTATGGGTGTAATTGTGTGGAAGATCTGAGTTGAGAAAGGGTGGTGGAAGAAGCCACAAGAAAGGAAAATGCTACTGCCAGAATTGCTTTAGTCAATGTTTAAGAGTAGTATTAATGACCATATTAAGAGGTTGGACTGCAGAACAAAGTAGAGTGGAGAAAATAAAACCAGGCGTGTTTTCCATTTGAAGAAGAGAATGGAAAATACATTAAAAATATAGAAAGTTGGCAGTTCTTGAAGTGAGTGTAGATTGCTTAGGGAATAGGACTTCCATTTTATCTCTGTTACCTTTTAGTTGTAGGCCCCACATACATAATTCCCAGTGACAAGCTTCTAAAGAGTTCTCAAGCCTCACAATTGCATTGGTGAACTGGATTTTACTGGTTTTCAAAAGGATCATTTGATAAGGAATTTAAGCTGGTTGCCATACCCACCCTGCCACCACTGGGCTGAGCCCCTTCATGGAGATCAGGGCTCCAAAGACTCTGAGAAGTACCAGGACCCTGGTAAAGTGCAGTGCCTACTCTGCAGCTCTGGGCCAGGGCATCCAGCTGAGAGCTGTGAGGGCTCCCCGTGTGTGCAGGGAATGTAGAGTTCCAAGAATGGCTGAGTGGAACCATGGATGTTTAGTCTTTAGAAAAGTTTATTTGATTTTAAGCATTTTGAGATCGCTTTTTCGTTTTCTAAAGAACTTATTTGAGTTTAAAAAATGACATTTTCACCCCTTCATCTACTTGAATTCAGCTTCATCTTCCCTTCATCTGCCTTCCAAGGAAGACACAAGGACTTTGGAGAGCTCCATAGTGCAAGGACACAAAATGCCCTGAATGGAGTTTCTGTTGCAGAGGAGGAGCAAGAGGAAACAAGGAGGGTCTTCACTGTTGGCTGTCACTGTCCAGGACTCTCTGGACAGTGATGAGGTGGAATTTCCATGAGAAGTAGCAGAGAGTGTTTGAAGTGGATGGGTGGCTGGGGAGCCTAGGGAAGGGGGGAATGCTCACGGAGCTGCAATGCCCATTTGGCAGCAGGTGCCTCCCCCTGGGCTGTGCTTGTGGCACTGAGGGAGAGCAGCTGACCGGGCTGAACCTGTGCCTGAGCCGGGCCCTGCTCTCCCTGCTCCCTTTTTCATGAGGGTGTGGGACACAGAGTAATTGTCTCTGATTCTGGTAAAGAACTAAAATTTATGGCTTGCCAGAGGTCAGAGCTGGGAAGCGGCAACAAAATATCCTTGACGTACTTGCTAGCAAAGTGAATACTGCAAACTGCGTGAGCTGGACGCTGTGTCTGCCTTGGCGTTGGCTGTTCCTGTGGGTTGTTCCTGTGAAAAGCCCCGTGTTTGCAGTCCCGCTTGGGCTGCCTTTGAAGCCAGAGAGCTTCCCAAGCTCAAGGCTTGAGCAGCCAGCCTGCTGTTAAACAGGAGATCAGGGCCGCAAAGCATGTTTTGGGAAACAAACCTTTTCATCCTGTTTTGTTGTCACTCTCTGGCACAAATTGCATTTGATGGGTCACTACACTTTATAAACTCTGTGTACATTTGTTTTATTAGAGGGGGAAGGTCTGTGCCAGAATTTTCACCTGTTGCCTTTTGCTATCAGTTTGTTGGACGGGAAGAGAACTGGTTTGTGGTGAATGCAATGGAACAAAACGGTTTTCACGGATTTATTTTAAACACGTTTCATCATATTGTGATTTAAACAGTTTAGTATGGTGCAGAGGCCACACAACTTCTGGTCTAAAATAACTCTCCAGTTACGTTTCTTATAAGGCCAGAGGAAAAGATGTCCGACCGATGTTCGCCGCATCCCGTTTCCAGCGCTGCCGGCGGTGATGCTCAGCCGGACAGAGCCCCGCTCTGCAGGCCGGGGTTCCTCGCCTCGGGGACCCGCTGCCGCCCCTGCCCTGTCCCCCGAGATGGCCGGCCCGGCTGTGCCGGCGCAGGGAGCGGCCCCCGGCGCGGCGCGGGGGCGGTCGGGGGCGGGGCGCGGCGGGGGCAGCCCGGTGCCGGCGGGGAGCCCGTCCCCGGCGTGCTGGGCTCTGCCGCTTGTCTTGCTTCCCGCTTTCCCGATCCTGCAGCACTGTTGCGCAGCTCCCGCGGACCGGCCGGGACGGGACGAGTCGGGAGCTCGGCGGGGCTCGGGGCTTGCGAGGCGAGGCGAGGCTGGACGGCCGGGGCAGGGGCCGAGGCCGCCCGGCGCTGGCGGCGGGGGGCGGTGGGGGCCCGGCGCGGCGCGGTGCCGCCGGGGCCCGGCGCATGGCGGCGGCGGGGGGCATCGCCACGCTGCCCGACGACGGCGGCAGCGGCGCCTTTCCCCCGGGGCATTTCAAGGACCCCAAGCGCCTGTACTGCAAGAACGGCGGCTTCTTCCTGCGCATCAACCCCGACGGGAAGGTGGACGGCGTCCGCGAGAAGAGCGACCCGCACAGTGAGTGTGTCCCGGGACCACCGCGGGCGGCACCGGGGAGGGCGGGCGGCTCCTCGCCCGGGCAGCGGGGCTGCGAGAGGAGCCGCGCCTCGGCCGTCCCGCCCTGCCGAAGCTTCGGCAGCGAGCCGTGCTTGGAAAGCGCCCGTCAATGTGCCGAATGTTCCTATGCGAGTAACCGCGACTACACAGACGGAGTTAATTCATACCGAGTTAATTCGTACCCACGTCCCGTAGCTGGTGGTCCCGCACCGGCACCCGCGGGATGTTCCGGGGCAAAGCCTCGCTGGCGGCTCCGCGCTCAACCTGCTGCCTACAGAGCTCGTCAGGTGCACAGAGATTTGGTTATGGGCTTGAAGGGGTCTCGAGTTTGTTTGCGTGGTTCTTAGAGGGGTCTAGTGGCACTTGACGGCTTTACACGACGGCGAATTCGTTGGATACATCAGGGTAGAGAGGAGGTTATTCTTTTTCCCAGTGCGGGTGGGTGCTCATGAATAGGAGCACTTTTGGCACACAGGTACTCTTAGGAGCAGAGGGGTAAATCTGGCCAAGGAAGCAGGGTTTATAACAAACAGCTGTCAGAACACTTTCTTGGTTTAAAATGTTACATGTTGCATTGTTTTTGTTTGTTTTGTTAAAACTTAATTAATGGTGGTTTAGATACAGATCAAATCTATGGATTCCAGTAGCTGCAGGAGTTGTCCCTCCCAATACCTGATCTTTTGAAGGGACAGAAGGGCTCCTGGGCTGGGAACAAAGCCCATGGGCTGAGTGATCACAGGCTTGCAGGGAGCGTGTGGCAGGTTGCTGTTACCAACACAGGTTGCTTTTTGTCCCACAAACAAAATGCCTTTTGCAGAGCTCAGAGTATTTTGGAAGTGCTCAGCGTGGAGGTTGTGTGGATGCGGTGGTGAGTGTTTGATGCGCCCGTGAGGCGTTTCCTCCAGCGCAGGTACAGGGAGTTGCTGCGTAGCTGTCAGATGGTCCCAGTGCAATTCCTGGTTGGAGGGAATTTGTTACTGTGCGGTGTGTGCAGGGCTTGCCTGCAGGCACTTGGAATGAGCAGCAGGTGAAATCCTTTACTGGGATTCTTCATCTGCTTTGCACCTGTGCCCTGAGTGATGGGTGAGGGACCGGGCTAAACTCAGGGATTAGGAGGAATGAAAGTGAAGAGACAGACCAAAGATTCTTAATATTACTTTCCACTTTGGGCATTCACCTTTTGCAAAAGGATTAGTTTTACCCAACAATTCCAAAGAAATCCTGTTACAGGAATCCTTGAAGGAAATAAATCTCATTAGTTAGACATGTCACCTCACTCTAGAAGTAGCTCTGGAAATGTGCTGGAGATCTGCTGCAAAGGGAGGTGATGTAGGGTGGGAGATGTACAAGGCTGAAGCTGAGTCCAAGACGCTGCCGTGGCTGTTGGGTTCTTGCCTCATTCCCTACCTTTGCTTTTGAAAAGTGCAGGTAGTGTGTGTGTGTTGTGTGCTCACCTGGCTGGGCAAGGCTGGTGGTATTTATCACTGCCTTTTTCATCGTAGAGCTCCCCCATAATTATTTCTTCCCCTCTTCCCTTTTTTGTTATTCTCTCAGGAAAACTAATACTAGTTTTTCATTTTTGAGTCCATCAAATGTTTTTCTTTCTGTTGAGCCTTATCAATACTAAAATTTTTAACTGACGTCTTGTGCTTTCCTAGTAGTGAATTCTTTCCTTTTCTCATTATAAGACAGCTCTTGGCTTGTTGCTTTTTCTTCCTTTTTTTTTTTTTTTTTTCCTGGAAGAGCCTTAGTTCTGAGAAGCAGAGAATAATCAGTGCTTGAAGCATCAGCAAGGCTCATTGCTGGGGCATTGCATGGTTCACATCCTTAGCATCCTTGCTGTAAATACGTCATTCCACACGACTCTGCTCAACTCTGACCTGGTGAGTGCTGCCCTGTGAAATCTCGTGGTATTCCTGGCATGGCAGAGGGCAATAAATCTTGGACAATGTGAGAGGACTTTAAAAATTAAATTAGCAATGAAAATATACACCTCGAATAATTCAGGGTGGTTTCCTTAGTTAAGCAAAAGGTTTTGTAAGGTGGCTTTGAGAAAAGAAATGTCTGCACAATTTGGTTTAGAAATAATTAAAGGCCAGTTAGTAGAGATGCTTGTGGTTGCTGCTATTCTTAGGAATTAATTATACAAAATAACATTTCAGTAGCACATCATCCTTCTTACTTTTAAAGGAAGTTCTTATTTTGGAAGGCAAGTTACTGTCTCCTTACGTTTCAGACCAAAGTTTTAATAGTATAAACCAAGTTCCATGATCCGTGACCTTTTTAGCTCCCCTTCTCCTGCCTCTATTCGAAATACACATTTGCTTTATATCATGGCATGGTTTTACACTCACCCCACTCACCTTCATTTATCCATAATTGTGTTGTTAATGAAATTAAGAATGGAAGTTGACGTCTTGCGTGCTGGAGGGTTGGGATCATATGATTCACACGGCTGAAACCCAGGACAGGGCGTCTTCCACGGCCATTATTGCCACATCTGACGCGTGCGCTGCTGTGACTCCAGTGAAGTGCCCCTTTGGACACACTCTGGGGACTCTGTCCGCAGTGTTTTCCCTTCAAGAGGTACTTCCAGACAAACAAGAAACAGAAGGCGCTTTCTGAGAGTTTTGTTGTCTAAAGCAAAATAAAAAACATGGCTGGTTTGTTGTTGTTGATCAACAACTGTTGATTTATGCCCTGGAAAACATACAAAGGACACAGTGTTTTTGGAAAGGCTTCTAGAAACACTCCAGAGGTGTTTCCCTCAAAGAGGCTACAGTGCTGGTGAGGGGGAAAAGCCTGGAGAATGGAAAGGGAACACTTATCCATACATTTAGAACATGTCTAGTAGCACAGCTGGTTCCTTTCAGAGTTTCCCTATGTGAGGAATGGTTGGCATTTATGTATTTCCATAATTTCTAAAGCAGCTTTGTTTCATGATGAGCATAACCCAAGACAGTATCCAAGGCACCCCGAGCCATTCTTGTCCATTCCTTAATGAGGTGACAAGGCTCCAGCCTCTCACTTGGAAAGGAGTCAGCTGTGTGAGCTCAGTCAACCCTGCAGATGTATGAAATACCTTCTTCCTGCTCAGTACCTCTCCCCTCTTCCATAAATATCTGAAGAAAATGTGAAATTAGGTAATACTCGTCCAGGAAAATTTCTTAAGCAGGTTTCCTTTCGTAAATAGTTGTTAATATTTAGATTTTGACTTGTCTCTCTCACATTTAAATGGTTACGCTCTAAATGTTTTGGAAAGACTCGGCTTATGTATAGACTGACTTTTAGAGCAGCTCAGTGAAGACGATGGAAATCTGATCATGCAATGGCAGAAAACTCGTGATCCTCAAGTTGAGCAAATGTCAGGAAGTGTTTTTGTATGAAGGTTCAGGACCTGGTGTTTAGCTTTTATAGGTGCATAAGTTGTTTGGGATTTGAAATACCTCCTTTCCCATTTGGTGTCTCGCAGACGTGGCCGGAGTTGTTGACAGGGCAAGATCTGTTCCAAATCTTAGCACTAAGTGAGGGGTGACTCGTTTAAAAAAAAAAAGTGCCCCTAAATGTTCAAATACATTGCTTCTACCCAAGTGCTTCTGGAAACAGACTCTTTTTGCATTACTTTTGATCTGTTGCACAGACCTTAACTGCTTTGCCAAGTACTTTGTGGCATAGCACAGAAATGCCTCCTGGCTCCTGGATGTAGCTGCCTTTAGGAAATGAGGTAGCAGAGATCCCCTGTGTGAAAAAGTTGGGAATATGCTTCCTTCTTTTGTCATAGAAATACCATCACGTTCCTGCTCAGGGGAGGATGCCTTCTCATCTCTCGCTGTGTCTGCTAATCCTCTATGCCCGTTCCTTGTGAGTCTTGCCCACCCCGGAGCTCTGTGATCCAGTAGCTGGTACACTCCAAAAGTGGACCAAGGCAACATGAGATGTCTCCAGTGGGCAGTGACCTGTCCTATCCCTCCCATCTGTTTTCTGCCCAGTTTGGAAGTGGGGAAGGTTCCAAGGGCACCACCACCCACAGGTACACTAGAGGGCAGGATTTATCCCTTAAACTGTCTCACTTAGGAGATCAGGAGTGCTTTTAGGTACGTACACAGTCTGGTTTGCAGGAAAATGTTAATCCAACTCCTGTTAGCCACTGCACTCCCAGAGCTGGAAATTACAAATACAGATAACATATTGTGACATCAGGTGGCTGCTGTTGGTTTTCATTTGTTTCATAAATGCTTGAAATTTGTACAGCTGATTCTAAGAAAAAGCTTATCTGTAGTGGGGTCATATTTAAAAGCATTCTAAAGAAAGTAAATTATGTTAGTAACTCAACTTGAATTTTATATCATAGTCTTTTCAGTGACACTTTGTTTCTGTAAGATTTCCCCAGTTCCCTGGATTACAGATAAGGCAGGCAGTTCTAATAAATAATTATTTGATCATAATGGTTCCTAGTACTCTTGGGAGTGTTGCCTTGGGATCACTGGCCATCTGTTCCTGGATACTTGAGAGGTGATGGATTGTACTGAACTGGTTCACAACCCTGGAATTAATGGTGCTTTTGACTGTCGGTGACAGTGTTTAGTGCAATTATGTAATAAAACAAAACCAGACGCAATGCCGCCCAGAGAATGCTCAAGTTACTGTTGCTGAACAACATACATAAGTGTCTGACATCTGTAAATTAAATATCTATACCAGGTGATATCTGAAATGTTTACGGCCTGATTTTTTAAAGCCTTAACATTGGTAGCCTTGGCTTTTGTTGGCACCTGTTTAAGACTGTGTTTCAAAATAAAGCAGCTCTCTCATCCTTTATCGTTTTCAGTAGTGTTTGGTGACAATATGCAGGTCAACTGTTTTGCCTGTCTGCCTCTTCTGCTGCCTCCAGACGTGTCAATAAAAATATTAAAAGGGTGCCTCTCTGGAGTGCTGGTGGCATTTTAGGGTTATTATCTTAC